AAAAAATTTAACTCGGGAACACACCAAAGAAGCTCCTACAGGAGTAAAAAGTAAGTTAATTTTGTTAGTTTGTCATACCAAAAGGTATCGTGTGTTTACTATTTTGCCTAATAAGAATTCTTCTTGAAAATAATAGCAGGAAAATCATCATGGAAGTTGAAACTTATACTCGGTACCGTATCGCTCAACCCATGTGACAATATTCTCATTTTCATAACACCTAAGTTTTGAGATTTTGTTCTCCTATTGTAGGAATCTCAGCATCTATAACTGTGATGATCATTATTATGGTCGTGCTAATAGTGAGAGTAAAGAATGCGAGAAAAAGTAGATGGAATGGCGAAAATGTTGAAACGGTTGTAATGTTGAAACGGTATAGTTACGCAAGGGTCAAGAAGATGACAAACTCATTTTCACATGTTCTCGGGGAAGGAGGATTTGGAATTGTCTATAAAGGGAAGTTACCCGATGCAAACCAAGATGTTGCAGTGAAGATTTTGAAGGAGTCAAAGGGGAATGGAGACGAGTTCATCAATGAAGTAGCTAGCATGAGTAGAACATCTCATGTTAATATTGTTTCCCTGCTTGGATTTTGTTACGATAGGAACAAGAGAGCTATAATCTATGAGTTCATGCCGAATGGATCCCTCGACAAGTTTATTGCTGAGAATATGTCAACGAAGATGGAATGGGAAAGGTTATATGAAATTGCATTAGGTGTCTCTCGTGGCCTAGAATATCTGCACAATCGTTGTGTAACAAGGATTGTGCATTTCGACATAAAGCCGCAAAACATACTTATGGACAAATATTTTTGCCCCAAGATTTCAGATTTCGGTCTTGCTAAGCTCTGTAAAAATAAAGAGAGCATCATGTCAATGCTAGACGCGAGAGGAACGGCAGGATACATTGCCCCTGAAGTGTTTTCTAAGAATTTTGGAGGAGTTTCACATAAGTCAGATGTGTATAGCTATGGGATGGTGGTTCTTGAGATGATTGGAGCAAGGAACAGAGAAAATTTTGAAAAATCTGGATCTAGCAATAGTTCAATGTACTTTCCAGATTGGATCTATAAGGATTTTGATAGGGGAGAAATCATGAGGATTTTTGGGGATCAACTAACCGAAGAAGAAGAGAAAATTGCAAAGAAACTGGTATTGGTTGGTCTATGGTGTATTCAGACCAATCCATCTGACCGTCCACCTATGATCAAAGTTATTGAAATGTTAGAGGGGAATCTAGAGGCTCTCCACGTTCCACCTAAACCTCTCTGGTATTTACCCGCAACAACGGTTCGAGAAACTGTTGAAGATAGTAATGAGACTTCAAGCTTCACTAACCCAAGTCAGTTTGAAAGAGGTACCTTTCCTAGTGAAGGTACTTTACACTCTTCCAAAGAAGTGGTGCAACGAACTACTGCAGAGAGTCAATATAGTTCACTGTCCTCCTAAAGTAAAATCATTTAAGAGAGTGGCATGTAGCGCGTACAACCTGTCAAGATGTTGAGGTATTTTTGTCAATTCTTTTGAAGTTTTTTTTAGCTAAAATGTTAAGAAATTCTTTTGAAGTTAATTTTTTAGTTTTTATAAATTGCAGCTGCAATTTAGTTGATTATATGCTTATGGGATGATGTTTTTGTTGATGCAGACACTTGACATTGTTGGATAATATGGATAAATAATGCAGACTATTTTCTGTTGTTTTCCATGGAAACGGTTCAAGAGATTTTGGAAGAGAACCTGTCAATTTTAAAACTGCTTGAAATAAGGTTCTGTTTAGAGTAGCCTCAAGGTCAAGGAACTTATTTGATGTTGCTTGATATAATGTTACAACTTTATTGTACAAGTAACAAAAACAACTTCCAAATGTGTATATCGTACATACTTAACACATTATGTGGGATTCCGGAGACTAATGAATGAATAGTGTTTCATACGGGATTGATTGGCAAAACATTTAAAAGGAGCTTTAGTTTTTTTTTTATTATCCAATCAACTTTTATCACTAGAAGATACACATTTGGAAGTTGTGAATACTCATTCCTTTTATGTTTCATTCGAACATTTTCCTAAAGAATAAACTTCTAAAATGTAAAGAAACAAAACTAGTTTTATATATTTAATTTAAATAAAAAATTTCAAATAGCCATAAAGTAATTGTTGTGTTTTTGTTAAAAAAATCAAACAATAACATATGTAATTTTTTTTTAGTCGAAATCATGTGCTTAAATAAATATTTTTGAGGAGACCGAAAAAAAAAAGAATCGGAGGAGAAATAACTTTTCCAAATAAAAAGGAGAAGAAGAAAGTACATTGTGACCATACAATTTTGGGATGAAATATCAACCTATATTAGTTGTCGGAAAAGTTGCGATGATTTTGCAAAAAATGTTGTGTAGCTCGTCGTGGCGACGATTGTTCCATCATAATTGTTTAGTAACTATACGGATTAGCAACAATTTGTTTCATTGCTAATAATAATATTTTTTTGTTGAAGTGGTTCATGTATTTTTTCACCGTTCTCTCTTATCACTAAGACCATTTCCAAAGTAAACTACTTTTTTGAAGTTTTAAGATGTTTGTTAAGCCCAAACTCGAGTTTCTATCCGCAGTTAACCCTTACGGTCGAATCAGACACATTCATTTTCAGTCCATTTTACTTGGCCATTTTTGTGTTTTTAATCGAGCATGTCTTAGTGTGAATGTCGAGCAGTCTCTACACAGTCCGGATAAGCCTGGCGAGAACATTCGACTCCCAAGCGTATGATCTGATCTGACTCTTGGTCAAACAATCAACATCAAGACAACAACGCAAATTATTAAAAAAAAAAACATGACAAGCAAAACAATCAGAACCACCCAAACAATCAATGATAGTAAGAATCTAGCAATCAAACAATCGAAGAATAATAGCCACACACTCATCCTTAGATAATCTGTTTTGGTATTGTCTTGATCCGATTTAGTTTCCAACACCACTTAGCGAAAAGTCCATGCCCAACAATCTTTATGAATCAATTCAGATGATCTTTCTCTGATTCTTGATCATGCTTGGCCTTAACTTAGATTTTCTCTCTTTCGGTGTTCTTAATTTCTCTTCGAGTTTCTCTAAGTTTTTTTGCGTTCTCTCTAGAAAATATATGCGGAATGGGGAGAAAAATGAGAAGAAACCCGAGTTTTATCTCAGTAACTCTCAAAAACCATCCCCAACTACCCACCACGTATTTTGTCAAATAGAATAATCTTTCTCGCTCAAAATTACTCGAATCTTTTGAGTTTTTCCTGAGAATAACCGTTTCCGCGCATTCACTTGACGCTTAACCAGATA